AGGTGGAGGGTCAGAGAAAAAGAGGAAGACCCCCAACGAGATGGATCAGCCAGGTGGCATCATTGATGGCGTCAAGTGTGGCCGCGGTAGTGAGGTTGGCCCAGGATCGGACATTGTTTCGTTCTGCTGTGCATGGGGTCTCTATGAGTTGGTTCCAACTCAATTGCACCTGACAACAACAGCAACAACAACTAGAAACAAAGAACTATTTATAACAATAAATGGGCCAATCTTTCTGGAAAACATAACAATTATAAACATATATGCACCTAACAACAGAACATACAAATATCGACAGAATTGAGAGGAGAAAAAGAAAATTCAATGACACTCCACTTTCAATAACAGATAGAACAACTCAGTAGAAGATCAAGAAGGAAATAGAACATTTTAGTAAAACTGTAAACTGGCATAGCTAACATCTATAAAACGTTCCACCCAAGAGCAGTAGAATGTACATTCTTTTCAAATGCACACGATCATTCTCAAGAATAGACTAGTTGTTGTTGTCAAGAGCCATAGTCATTCCGACTCATAACGACCCTTGTATAGGGTTTCTGAGGAGCAGCTGGTGGGTTTGAACTGCCGACCTCTTAGTTCACAATCCAGAGCTGACCCCTACAGCACCACAACTGGAATCCAAACCACACATGAGGCTATAAAAAAAGTCCCAATTTGGTTTTCAAGCACAATGAAATTAAATTAGAACTCAACAACAGAACAAAATTTAAGAAAGTCACAGATATGCAGAAATTAAACAACACATTTAACCTTAAAGTTTGTCATTCTTTTCTTTATGTGAATTTTTTTTGTATTTATGCTTCCTTATTTTTCTCAACTCCATTGTAAAGTGTTTTGAAACGTTTTATGATCATTTTTCTGAATTCCTTCTCAGGCATTTCCAAGGCCTGCCTTCCTTCCAGATTGGAGTCCATGTCTACTTCTAAGTCATTCCTTACCACCCAACAAATGAGGTCCTTGGCTGGCAGGAGACCCCAGAATTTTTTCCTCTCTGGGTCTGGAACCTGTCCCAGTTTTTTTCCTTTAACTGTTTTTTGTTTTGTTTTGTTTTGTTTTCTTATTCTTCCTTCCTCATCTTTCTCTCTCTTGCTTTCTATTCTTTCTATCTCCCCCCACACCTTTTTTTAAATTCTCTTCTCAAGCTGCTCCTTCCTCTGTCTTTTTTCTTCTTCTTTCTCTCTCTTGTTTTTTGTTTCCCCTCTTTATTTTTTGTTTTGTTTTTATTACTCTCAAGTCTCTCTCCATTTTACTCATTTCTCTCCCTAATTATTGTGTTTAGGTATTTTTCTTTTTTTTATTATTTTCTTTCCCTCTCCCTCTTTTTTCTCTTTGGTTTTTGTATTCTTATTCTACCTGTTGCCTTTTTTTCTTTATTTTCCCTTTACTATAGTCTTTTTTTTTTTTAGTTATTTTTCACTTCTTTGTTTTCCTTCTCACTTATATGTATCTGACAGGAGGCAACAACTGCATCCATACAGCCCAGCCAGAAGTGTACTCTGTATAGCCCTGCCCATTAGATAAGAGCCAATAATAGATGCTATACATGGACTCCTGGTGTGGAGCTATATAATAAGCACTACACTATGAACCATAAGTTCGGTGGTTCAAACCCACCAGCTGTTCTGTGGAAACTTCATACATGGTACTGTGAGTTGGAACCAACTCGATGGTTTCAACTCATAGTAACAAAAATAATAACCAGTATCAGCTAAATCCACCCTGAACTAAAGAGCAAACAGAGAATGGTGTGCAAGCTAATCTGGTCACACCCACAATAAGGCAGTTGGTGAGTGTCTGAGAATATACCAACATACAATCATCAACTTAATACAACAACACAATGTCTAGAAAACAGCAGACAATCTCTTTTCACAAGAAGAAAGAAAACAGAGTAGCTCAACAAGTGACCAAGAAGGCAAGCTAGAAAATATATTTAAAGAAAAAAAAAGCATTGAAACTACTTGAAAAGAATTAAAGAGAATGATATTTAGTTACCTCCAAACATATGACAGAAAAGTCAAAGAAAACAAGGAAGAAATCAAGAAAGCCCCACAGGAACAATCAAACAAAACAAATAAAGGATTAGAGGCAATACAAAATTTACAAGAAAAATCCAGAAGATCAATACTAAGATTTCTGTTTCTGAAACAGAAAATACATTAAAAAGGCAAAGGAGTAGATTTAAATCAACAGAAGTCCAAATTAGTGAGCTTAAAGATAAATATCTCAATACTCATAATCTAGAAGAACAATCAGAAAAAAAGAATAAAAAATCAGAAGAAAGACTAAGATTCATGTAAGACAACATGAAGAGCAATAATTTACAGTTGATCAGAATTCCAGAACAGGAAGAGACAAAGAAAAGCACAGAAAGACAGTAAAAGAGCTGTTGGAAGAACATTTTCATAACATCATGAAAAACAAGAAGTATCCAAGAAGCTGAATGGACACCAAAAGAAAATCACCAAGAACTCTCCAAAATCAAAGGAAAGAATCCTGAAAGCAGCTTGGGAAAAACAAAAAGTTGCCTACAAAGGAGAACCAATAAGACTAAGCTCTTGATTTCTCAGTAGAAATAACACAGGCAAAAAAACTCTGAAAGAAAAAACTTACCAAACAAGAATCATATACTCAGTAAAATTGCCCTCAAATACGACAGGAAAATCGGGGTATTTCCAGAAAAACAGACTGAAGGAATTCGAACTAACAAGGCCAACTTTACAAGTACTAAAAGGAAGTCCTTTGGACTGAGAATCAAGAACAGCAGAAAACAACTGGAACTTGATATACATGGCAACATCACCCAGAATTCAATCCAGATGTAGAAGTATGTAAAGTTAAATAAACATACTGAAAATAGGGAACTAGAGATATCAATTTATAGTGAAGACAACTACAAGGCAAAAAGAGGGGAACATACAGTTAACAGAATTTTCATATGGTGAGAAAGTCAAGCAAATTTCAAGATAATTCCAACTGTTTTAAACTGGAGAGGAAATTTATAAATTACAGGGT